TGGTTAGATGAAAAACATGTTGCCAGTGAAATCCCTGGTAACAAAACTTTATATTTACATATGAAATGAAGTCTGGAATGAATTTATTCAGCATGCTTAAAATGGAGGTCACTCAAAAACAAGGTACTCATGAACTAGCTCTGCCTCCTTGTTAATGTTACATAAATAATAAGTGAAAATGCTTTTTTCTGCCTGGTTTACGGATGATGGGTCTGTCTACTTCTGTGGTTTTATAGTCAGCTCTTCAGATGTGATGTCCAAAGGTCAGAAAAAATAAGGAGGTTCAGGTTACTGTCGTCCAAAGGAAGATATTTGTTGGGAACTTGGGTGATTGTTGAAGTCAGAGGTTTAATGTTTATGTCTCCTCCTGTCGGGTGTCAGATCTGAGCCTGAGGACCTGTTCCGACATCGAGATGCACTAGAAGACAGAGGCAAGAATAAAAACCAAGCGGGGTGACTTGTTTGTCTGCCTGTATTCACATTATCTCTATTGGTAGATATAGCATATCTTAATGGCTTCCAGTATTTGAATGACTATAGCAGCTACAATTCAGCAGGGAAATATATATTTTCCTTTTGTCTCTTGAATTCATATTTTATTGATTCATTTTATAAATGAGTTATACATGCAAGCACAGACCTGGTGTTGTTGTTTCGTTCACTGCAGAAATCTGTAGCTGATGTCAACAGTCTGTAAATGACTGCACAGCCGGACTGTAGCACACTGTCATGATACAAACAGTATACAAACAATAAAAAAGCTAAAATATTGAACACAGAATTAAATTCAAGCTGAGGTATGATTTTTTAAAGATTCTGTTACTTATGCCTGCCTGAGACTTCTAAACTTGTGTTTAAAAGTTGGAAATCCATGCAACTGTTAGTAGACTATGTTGGTGACAAACCACTAATCATGGCTGTAGCACATTTATTGTTTTTTTTATCCATATTCTGTGCAGAAATGGGCTGGTTATAAAACATCTGTCTGTTTCCAATGGTCTTTACTAAGTTATTCATATAAAAATGTAATGGAGAACTTTGACCAAGAAAGACAAACCCTTCTTTACCTTTTGATGAGTAAGAGGCTCAGCTCGATGGGCAGCATGAGGAACGTCAGCAGATACAAAACCACTTTGACTGGAAGGAAATCTGTGAGCTGAGACGATGCACTGACACCATCAGGACTCTCCCTGCAGGCCTCACACAGGACTAACACACACACACACACACGCACACACACACACTAAGCATGAATATTCATAGGAGACTTGTCGTAGATTTACTGAGGTAAGAACCCAATCAATTTTTGACCAGGGGGTGGATCCAGAATTTGTACTTACTTTAACATCTTTAACATTGTGAGATTGGACATTTTTAAACTATTTTGTTTTCACAGGAAATGATTCATGGGTTTTGATGAAAAACAATCAGGCATATTTCGGCAACTGAAAACTATGAGTGTGTGAAATTTGTAGCAGCTTGAATTTAAGGGACTGTTGGGCCTCGGTGAAGGTATGCACTCTACCTTGTTCCATAATGTGTGAGTGTTTCTCAGTAACTGAAAGCTTTCTTTTCATTTTTTTGCTCAAGCTGTCCTGGCAGGTGAAGGATCAAACCAAATTTACTTTTCTTGATGTCTTCCGGGAGGTTCTCTATGACTTTCTGGTCAAGCCAGCGATCCTTCTCTTGTGCAGGATTCAGCCCGTTCAGCTGAGTCTTTTCGGCCTCGTCCGCTTGAGCCGCTTTCTTCCACAAATCACAACAAGCAGGTTTGACTGTGTCCATCTCTGACACCAAACTGGAAGGAAGACATTGTGTCCTATGCAGATCTGTAAGAGACAGCTGATTAAGCTCATGTTTTATTTGTTACAACATGTGTGAATGAAAACACTGACAGCTCACTTCTGAAGAGGATGAAAGTGACGAGTAGATCTCACCTTTTTCTCTCAAGAAACGAAGAGCATCCATGTAGCCGTTGTGACAGATCTCTGCCAGTTTCTGTCAAGAACAAACGTAAGTGATGAACAAATGTTTGCTATTCTTTTGCAGCAGAGAACATCTTAAAGATACAGTGTGTAGAATTTAGTGACATCTAGAGGTACAGTAGCATGTTGCAGCTCCTCAGCTCACCCTCCACTTCCAAACATGACAGAGAACCTGTGGTGAACTTCAGTTGTCAGGAAAACTCAAAAGGTTTTAGTTCATCCAGTTTGGACGACAGTAAAAAACATGGCGGTCTCCACTGAGAGGACCCCCCCCATGTAAATATAAAGTATTTAAATATGAAGGGCCCATTCTATTGTAAAGAAAATAACTTTCATACAATCTAGATGAAACACACAAGAGAACACATCACGAGAATTATTTTATATTCAATTTCTGCCAAAAATCCCTTTTACCTAAATCTTACACACTGAACCTTTAATGCTTTTCAAAGGAACCTGAATGTAAACCAACCTCTAGTCTAGGAGGTAGGAAGGATGTACAGATGCGGTGCACGTTGCCAGTGTTGACCTGGATGCTGACGTTGCCGTAGTGCACGTCGAAGAAGTTGAACGTACCCTCCTTGGGGCAGATGTCGCTCTCGCCAGAGAACGGGGCCACAGTGATGGTGTTTCTCTGCTCGAACAGGGGCATGTTGTTGCTCAGGGCTCCGTCCATGTAGTACTGAGAGGAGAGGGAGCAGAGGGAATGAACTGGACTATCTCAGGTGACCAGAAACACTCAAAGTGAAAAGGAGGGCACCCCTCTCATAACACACACACACACACACACATATGAGGATGTTTGATACTCAATCACAGATTATTAGAAAATTATTAATTCACACAGAGAATAGGGTATTGAATTTAATAATTTCTACATTTATATATTTATGTAGCCTGTCCTATGTACACTATGCACAGGTGGTGGCTGTGATAAGGGGAGTCAAGGAGGGAGGTGCAGGGGATGGTGCAGTTTCACAGTAAAGAACACGGTTGTATAACCAGTTAGCTAATCCTAAAGAATCTGTCAGCTGAAGTTTTCAGGGAGAATACAGGAAGAGTGCATCGACTCACCACTCCACGGTATGAAGGCGGAGTGAAACCACAGTAAACAGGGAAAAAGCAGCTGCACATGAGAACCTACAAAGGGAAACAGTGCAGGTTAAAACATCAGAATTGAAGAACATCATTGACATCTTTGTTGAATGAGCATCAGAGCGGATGTTGTGAAACCAAGCCAATGTTTTTCTTCTGCTCCATTGTACCTGAATGAGCTCCTCTCTGCTCTCAAACTCTGACACCAAAACGTTTTTCCCATCAGTCAGTCTGGTGAGGGACACGCAGAGCTTCCCCGAGGCCCGACGGTGAGCGTCCTCTGGAAGTTTCTCCATCAGGGTCTCCTGTACCCTGCGCAGCAGACTGAAGGTCGGGTGGAAAACACCCAGTGTTTGTTTTCTGGCCTCTTTTGCCATCGACAGCACATGAACACAGAATTGTTCTGTGGAGGAAAATGCAGCTAAATCAGCCTGTAGGAAAAAATACATTGCAGTTGCATAAATACATTTTTTACTCAAAAGTATGTGCATATCAGTCTGTGGGGTGATTTTGTGGAATCGAGTGAGAGAATCAAAGAAACAGAAATCTCAGAGAAGTCTCTTTTATGAGAGATACAGAAATCAAGTGATTAATGTACTTTTGTCAAAATGTTGTAGATTTGATGTTGAAAGCACTTTTATGAAAATGATTTATTATTTTATTTAATCTGTTCTTATCTTTTCTTTTATTTGTTGGTACGGGTTAGTGACTATTGAAAAATAAAAGTTTAAAGATGTAGCTATATTAGTAATATACCGGAAAGAACGCAAAAAAAAAAAAAAAAAAAAGATCTTTTTGTGATGTTATTTTGTGTTCATTATGATATTGTTGTGTGTGTTCAGCCGGGTGAATGGGTGTTTTGCCCTCGTTGGCCTCCCTTGCCTTTGACCCCCATGTGACATCTGGACTTTGGCCTCACTATTGCATAGACTCTGTGTTTGTCTGTCAATGAACCTGACAAACACATTGTTTACTCTAAGTATCATTCATATCACTTGCTCTCAGATAACATGTCCTTGACCTTTCTCTATAACCTTAATGAACTTCAATTACTACAGTAGGAAGAACTTGTTGACTTGTGTTCTCTATACATTTTATATATTTCAATGTATCCATGCGGTCACTGTAACCTCTAACTATGAATGAAAGGATAAAGAATATACAAATTAAATACTTGGTGTCTGATTTAGATATTAGATGTTTTAATCACAGTCAGTTTCTACCTGAAAGATTGTAATAGCAGTAATTATCATTCAACACATACACAGGCTGAATCCTTACATTACACAGCGAGCTGGGACTGTGACTCACCAACAGGAATCCCAACAGTCAGCGCTGCAGCGACGAGACAACCAGATGAAGCTCCACAGATTTTAGAAGCCCCATGAATCAGCCGTGGGACCCGCTCCAGAATACAGCTGGAGGCTCCCAGGTGGTAAACACTCCTGAAGCCACAACCTGCGAAGGAGAGGTTCCACTCCTCATCCCAGCTGAACATGTTCTCTGAGGCTTCCATTCACATAACCAGGTCGATGGATGGACAGTCAGAGAAGCATCTCACAATGTGCCATGCTGTTTGTTCATCCTTGAGTTCAGCTGGTTTGGATTCACTCTAGGGTTTCCCACACGTGAACTGTTGTCTCATCTGCGCTCCATTCAGAGGCGAAGTGGGCAGAGTGTCAGCAGGCTATGGTGTGGTGTTGTGCAACTTACTAGACTCAGCCGTCACATGTTTCAAAATAGAAAACAAGCTGGAATCACACACACACACACAGGTTACGGTCAGGGCAGCTGCAGGACATGTGATATAGTTTCCATAACACAGTAGCATGGGGGGGGGGCAAAGAGGGGGTCAACAACAGCCCCAGCTCCTGAGTTCTCTTTATCATTCCAACGTAGTCTCAAACTGTTAACAATTGTCTCATTTTACAGTGAGTTATTATCTATTGATCGTGCTACCGGTTGCTCTTTGCAATGTCAGATCATTGATAGGGTGTTTAACAGTTTCACTGATTTCTCAAAGAATATTTCATTGATCATGATGTAATTTGGTGTAGATCCAAATACTAATCTGGATCTAGTGAATTTCAGTGTGGTTTCATGAGGGGACTGTTAAGCCTCGGCCATTCTAGTTGTAAATCTTCCTTTCAATAATAGCAGTTCCTTGTGTCTTAGCTGTTGGAATGCTATAAGCCTGATGGAAGCCATGGCTGTAGTACACAAACAGTTTGGTTTTTTTGTTTACTGTATCTGATGTTCTCATCGATAATGACACAATGGTACCCAGGACATGTTTGCATTTATTTATTCAACAACCTTCTTTTTTCTTTACAGTGAAAATGAAAAAATCAAACATATTTACTTGAATGCAGAAAAGGACAATGAATCTTCTGTTTTCCTAAAGTTTGAAGTTTGCTCAAATGCAACATTTTGGATCCACCCCACGGCTCTGCCCAGCCCCCAGCGTCCGCCTGGCGACTCTGCTGTGGCATCCCACTGAGGCGTGGGGGGTGGGGTCAGGGGCATGTGGCCCGCCTCACCGTGTGGGTCCCAGGTGAAGGTGAGGCTGAAGGGGGGAGCATCTTCTGGAGTCACTGGAGGCGTGCTTGCATCTTCTGTTCTGTTATTCAGCATGTTCAGGCCTGATGGCAGGCTGGTACATCTGTATATGTTCTCAGCCATGTCACAGAACCAGGTCATGTCCTTGGGCACATCTGGGATCCAATCCACCAGTCTGGAAGGATTCATTTAGGTGTCAGATTCACTCACAAAACTGTAACTGTAAAAACTTGTGAAGTGCAATCTTGCTTAAAAACACACAAAAAACATAACCCCCCTTGGTGGAGGTAATGAATTACAACTTCTCCCTGACAAAAATAGTGGAGCAAATGATGTGTCAATTGATTATACTAGTGCAGTGCCCATTGTAAACCTGCCTGTTTGTCTGGCCTGTGTTAATGCTGGTTGCAGCTCATTTCTGTAACAGTAAAACTGAGCCACAGAACCTTGGAGTTTCACCACCTCTGCTGCACAAAGAGCTGTTATCCTGTTCATTCAAAGATAAGGGAACCTCGTCTTGGTACACAGAACTCTGAACTGGGGAATCAGCTGTTGTTGTGAACACACGGTTGTCGTGATCAACAACGTCACTGTAGTTGATGAGTTCCACTGCTGCTACAGAGCGCTGGTCACCTGTTCATTCAAAAGTGTATTAACAATTCATTTAATATTAATTAAGTGTATTAATATGTATCACATGTCCAAATCACACTATATTTCACCCTGAACAATAGACATGTCAAGGGTTAACCTGAATTTTTCTCGAGATATAAGAGCCACATATAGACAGATTTAGAATAAGTAGATTGTAGAACAAAAATCCACAGGGTCTGTTTGTCTGGCTTTAGACAACAAACACAGGACTCATGTGACTGCATGCTTTTTAGAAAGTGTCGAGTCGTGGTGAACAGGTTAAAAGTACAATGTGAGGTTCTCACCTGTGGGCTAGAGAGCAGGCCGACTCAACGGGCAGGGTGCGAGGGATGTGCAGGTATGACGTCACTTTCTTCGGCAGGTAGTCGGCCATGTGGGATAACAGACCATCAGCAGAGCGTGATTCCCTACAGGCCTCACACAACACTGATACAAATACAAGCAGGACACGTTTAGCTTTACTGCATTAGATCTACTGAACACAGCAGTTCAGATCATTGTTTTGCTTCTGTCAGATTTTTTTCCCCAAATAAGGAGGGTCAGACCCTGACTTTCCTCCCCTTACCACTTCTGATGTTAACTGGGAGCTTCTCTATGAGGTGTAGATCCAGCCAGAAGTGCTCCATCTGAGGACGTCTCAGTCCATTCTGCCGCGTGTTCTCACAGGACCCCTCAGCGTCTGCCTGCTCCTTCACCAGCTCACAACAAGCAGGTCTGGGCGAGTCCGTCTCCAGACTTCTCTGTGGACACTCGCTGCTGATGAGATCTGTGACGGAAATTTACATTAAGATAATATTGTGCAATAAAGAGCATTGGATCACTCGCAGTATCGTGCAGTGGTCAACTGTTTTTCCTTTTCTTCCTCACCTTCTGTTTGCTTAAATGTTTCACAATTGTTATGACAAAAGTGTCCTTACTGTTGTCTTGCAGGAAGCGGAGAGCATCTATATAGCCATTCTGGCAGATTTGAGACATTGCCTGTAAAACCCAAGAGTGCTTGATGAGGATGCAAGATTGAGGATGACTTAATCTACATGACAGTCCAGAACAGTATTTTATAATCAGCTCTAAATTGTAGCTTTTATTGTGAACTTGTGAAATGTTTCACTTTTTCTCTCACAAGCCCCCAAACACCACTTTTTATCCAATACAGCCGTTTTTATGATCGTGCGTATGTTTTAAATCTTTTATCTGTCTCTTGATTCCTTGTGTTCACTCTTCGTTATTATGCAAATATTGGAAAGAGGAGTCAAGATGATGTTTAGATGATCCAAATACATAAATACAACACGTTTACAGCGTCCATGTTTTATCTCCAAAACATGAACATACTGAAGACCGAATGACTTCACAGCTCATAAAACACTGGAGACCTGCAAATTATCAGATAATGCTTAATAGGGCTTGAACTCAGTTGATTTAGACTATGCATTTCTCCACTACTCAACTTTCATAAGTTTACAGCTGAACCCTGCATCTATTTTATGCTCAGAGATATTTGAAACATACTGAAACACAAAACAGTTGCATAACACAGTCCAGTAATAATCAATGTTGTTCCACAGTGAGATTAATCAGGCATAGATGTGGCGGAGTGTACAAGCTGATATTTATAATGAGTAAACACACTGAATGACTTGACAAATTGCTGCTGGGAGGGGAAATACTTTCAAATGCAATGAGAAATCATAACTCTTTAGAAAGAGTTGACAGTGGTATAAAGTGTGTGGGATCTGCAGGGAATCGGCTTTAAAGTGTCAGATAGTGTAACTGCTGCAACTTTAAGCTCCAGTGTCTCACCTCAGGCTCGGGGGGGAAGAAGGTGCTGGTCACTCTTTGCATGTTCTCCGAGCTGACGTGGATGCTGACGTTGTTGAAGCGCACCTCGTGCAAGTTGAGCGAGCTGGCCAGGGGGCAGATGTCACTCTCGCCGGCGTACGCGGAAATCGTTATAGTGTTTTTCAGGTGACACAGAGGGAGGTTGTCACTGATGGCGCCGTCCACATAATGCTGAGGGAGGAAAAGTGGAAGTTAATCTGTAAGTAAAACGTGAACGATAACTGTAACTGGTGTTTGCATTTTAATCAATGAAAACATGAGCCTTATGGTTTATGAATGTCTCAATGTGCTTCAAGATGAAAAGCTAAATTGTGCAAGAAATACACATGGAATAACATAGAACATGATATATGACACCAGTTTACCAGAACTACTGATGCGCTAACTGAAGTAAATCCATCACGTTTTGTATGTATAAATATATGTAATATACAATATGAAGTCATTTAAGTTCATATATCAGGATAATGCCAAAGACAGTAGATTGAATAGCTGTGTTTTTCTGATGTGCATTTCCACCCTGACAGCAAAGTAGACTATCGACGTGAGTTTAGTTCAACAATTTACTGAACTTCAGGCAAATTAAAATAATCAAGTCAGAGTTACTCTGGAAAATCCAACAGAGTAAGACTGACCCTGTCTGCCCTGCCATGTTTTTACAACACACAATAAATGCATGTTGCTTACTGCGCCTGTGTCTTGGAGACTTCCTAACTGACTGATGTTGGACATTATTGACCAAATCATCACGGTAATTAAAGATTTAAACAGTACAACTAACCATCAAGAATTCCACTGTAAAGCTAGTAACTGTTTCAACCCTGGTGACGACTTGACCAGTCTGAGCTTTAGTGTAACAGCCCCCTAGTTTACTCACCAGTCCTCTGTATGTGGGTGGAACAACACCACAGTAGAAAGGGACGAAGCAGCTGCACAAGAGGACCTGGAAAAACACGTCCTGTATCATCATGTGTTCATTGTAAGACAAACTCAGCACAGACAAACAAATAAGGAAATAATGGAACCTCAAAAAATGCAATTTAATGAGGCTATAAAATGTTAAAGCCTTATCTTCAGAGAGGAAGGGGCTGGTGACCAAGACAGCAAACTATATTATATTGTATCTTGAGATGAAAAACAGTTGCAGTTGAACTCCTTCAGACCAGCCCTGTAAGAACAGCTGTATCCTCCTCCAGTTCTGTTTAAGGAGGGCGTTTCAGTTTTACAGCCCCCACATTTTCCTCCTCCATTTCCTACAATTTCAAAACTCGTCTTTCTATTCAGCTTTACCGTCTTTTTTTAAACATAGCTCAATGATTGCATCATCATAAAGTCCATTTTACTTTTGGCAGTGTCATATTACCTCCCCCAAGGAGCTTGTGTTGCATTTGCAAGTTAGTTAGCAATGTTAAACAAAAGCTGTGGCGTGTCAGAAGGAAGAAACCATTAAACTCTGGCAGATCCAGTCTTTTTTTTAACTTTCTTTAACATTGTGAGACAGGACCTTTTTAAAAACATGAAATGTCTCTTGACTTCAGGTGAATTCAACCACCACAAAAGTCTCAGCTTGGCTCCCAAACTGTAAACATACCTGAATAAGCTCATCTCTGCTGTCAAACTCTGACACTAGTACATTCTTCCCATCAGGCACTCTGGTCAGGGACACACACAGTCTCCCACAGGCTCGGACATGGGCGTCCTCTGGAAGGCTTCCCTGCAGAGAGTCCTGCACCATCTGCAGCAGGCTGAAGGCTGGGTGCAGGGGCCCCAGTTTGTGCTTCCTGGCTTCTTTAGCCATACACATCAAATCTGCACAGCATTTCTCTGCACAGAGAATTTAGATACTAGTGATTAGATGACTTTAATATATCTTAAAAACAAAAGTGATGCTAATCCAACAAAATGACTGTGTAATTCTTCATGTTTTTTTTTTTACTTAAATCAAATTTTGGATAAAAAATATTTGTTTATTTCTGTGTCACTGTCAAATTCTGTCTGAAGCTCACCTGGCTCTCTTTGTGGGAACTTTCTCTATAAGGTCTTGATCTCACTAAGACATTGTTTATGTTGTGATTTGGTGCGATACAAATACATTTAATTTATTGAATGGTACTCAAGGAGGTCTCAAAATAAGATGCAGCATTTCAACAGTTCAAATGATCAGCAGAGACTGATAAAAAAGAAACAGGGACAGTTAATCCATCTTGGTAGTGACAGAATGGAAATGAAATTATAAAATCAATATCTTTGTGGCATTGACCGAATTATAGAACAAAATGTAGTCATTTGAACTAAATCTTGAAAATTGCTCCTTGACACCTGGCACATTTGTTATTTTCACTGTGGGAGAAAATAGCAGGTTTTTGACTGAAGTTTGGTGTGTGGATAAGACACCTCAGACTCACCTAGAGGAGTTCCAATAGCCAGAGCAGCAGCCATCAGAGCCCCCGAGGAAGAGCCATAGATTTTAGATGCGTCCTGTATGAGGCGAGGGAAGCGTCCAAGCAAACAGCTGCTGGCACCAACATAATAAATCCCCATGAAGCCGCAGCCTGCGAAGGAGATGCTCCACTCTCTCTGCAAATCAAACATCCTCCCAGGTGCACCCCTGTTTGTATACTGAAGAAACTAGCTCCTCTAGATGTCAACCTGCTAAAAAGTATAAAATAAAATCATGGGGATCATCACCAGCAGCTGTCACCACCACCCCTCCAACAATCAGTACCCAAAGGTGACAGAGCAGCCGAAGGTGGAGGGATTGATTTCATTGGGGTGCTGCTTTCCTATTGGCTGGAAGAGGTCACATGACGAGAGTGAGTCAATCAACATGCCATAGAACCAACTTTTGGGAGTCGCAAGAATTCTCAGTTGAGTTGCAAACTCTAACAGAGACCTTTACGCGTAGTTTTTAAAAATGGATATTCCAATAGTGGACTTCGGTGCGTACGGGCTGACTGAGAAATGTGCTGACAACGAGCAGCTGCACAGCATGGGCAAAGAGCTGAAAGCTGCTTTTACAGAAGTTGGGTTTGTGTTCCTGAAGAACACCGGGATCACCGACGAGGAAGTGAGAGCAGCGCAGATGATCATTTAGTTTACACGATCGTGCGTAAAAGTTAACATGGAGCGTGCGTCTTTTCTGCTGCTGTGCGTTTGGATAGGTGGACCGTGTTATGCGCGTATCCATGGATTTCTTCCTGCAGCCGGATGAGGTGAAGCGGCCCTTCAGCAGGAAGACCTTCGCCAACAATCCCAACCACGGCTGGGTGTCTCTGGAGACCGAGAGGTGGGATTCACTACATGAACTACTTATCTGCTCCATCATGCAGTTTTTTATTTTAACTCACACAACTGCTTTTCAGGTTAAATCCACGTCGACCTGGAGACCTGAAGGAGGCATTCAATACAGCTTCACTCCACCCTGACATAGTAATAATGTTTGCTCTGTCAAAGACCTTTGTTGTGTAACAGACCTACTGCAGCATTTGTTGTCAAAGAAGATTGCCCCTCTAATTATGCCCCCACTTTATTCTGTAGGTTATCAGCTGTGGGGTCAAAGTACAGGCCATTGTAAAGCTCTGTCCTACATTTAATTTTTTATCAATCAATTATTATCAGCTGATATTAAAGGTTCAGTGTGTAGAATTTAGTGACATCTAGTGGTGAAGTTTCATGTTGCTGCTGGATATCCCTCACCCTCCCCTTCCAAACATGTGGTAGCCTTCAGTTGTTATGAAAACTCAAAAGGTGTTTAGTTCATCCAGTTTGGATTCTTCTGAAAAACATGGTGGCCTCAGCAGAGAGGACCCACTCCCTTTGTGAATATAAAGTATTAAATATAAAGGGCCCATTCTAGGATAACAACAGACATAATAACACTACAGTGAAAACATCACTAGGATTATTTTATATTCACTTTCTGCCAATAGATTCCTTACACCTAAATCTTACACACTGGACCTTTAAGTATTGGCAAGAAATTGCTATGAAGAAATAATTTCATCAAATATAAATTTGAGGTTATTTAGAAACAGTGGCCCTATAAAATGTGCACAGTTAAGTGAACTGTAATATCTACTATATAGTTTATAATTATGTTAAACCAAAAATGTCAGTGTTATTTAATCAGAGAGAGAGAGAGAGGGATATATTAGAATTATCAGCCGCAGAAATCGAAAATTGGTCAGGCACCGATGACGCCCTGCCTCTGCTGTAGAAATGGCCAACATCAGATGCTGTGGCGGACTTCCAGGAGATCCAGACGTCTTTCTTCCAGCGCTGCAAGGAGCTGAGCCTGCGTGTGCTGAGGGTGATGGCCCACAGTCTAGGACTGGACCCAGAGGTGTTCCTGGGTGCACACAGTTTAATAGGAAGTACGTACAGGTCACCAACGTACAGGTTGGTGATAGCTAAGAAGAAAGGAATGTCCACTTTAAACAAATGTAACTGAAGTAACACTCACTAGTAGACGGCTGACAACGTGCTTTAATTCCCAATAGCATAGATGTTGAGCTCAATATAAACTCCTAATAATTAGATGCCAGTTAACCTGATCATTGCTGCTGTTTCTCTTGTAGCTGATGAGAACGGCACAACGCTGCGGTCTCTGTACTACCCACCAGTGAACAGTGAGAAAGCCAAGGAGGGTCAGCTGCGATGTGGAGAGCATTCTGACTACGGCACCATCACGCTGTTGTTTCAGAGCTCTGAGGGTCTGCAGGTAATCACACTCACAACTCCACCTCTCTGGATGCTATAGACCCCAACTTTTACAAACCAAATCTTTTTCACTTCTTGTGTTGTCACATTAAATCATACAGTTCAACTTACTATTCTACCAGATCTACCAGAGCTGCCTCCAGAGAGGACTGCAAGATACCGTATAGAAAATGTCCCTTTGAACAGTCAGCCTTTTCTTATTGAGCAGCACATACCTGGAAAACCCTGCACAAAGAACCAAGGAACACCACTACGACAAATTCTTCCAATTTGACAAAACAGTGGTTATTAGAAATCTACTCATCATCTTGAGTAGTGGTTGTTCTGATATTTAGTTTGTGTACTTTTTGTCTTTTTCTCTGTCTAAACTCATAGATCTTCATTTTGCTTGATAAGTCTTCATGATATTGCTTTGACTTGTCATTTGTTGCCTTTGTTTGTGTCTGTGTCTGTGCATGTGCGTCTGTGTTTTTGATGATTTTTACCATAAACCTGCCAGAGACTGCAGGTGAAAACTACCCTGCATGGCTAAATCTGGCATATTCACAAGTGTGACTCAAGTACACATGTTAATTCATATGCATTGTCCCTTTTAAAATAAATACACATAACTTGACATTTATCTTAAAAAAATAATAATCTTATTTTTAAAACGAAAATTTGGCCTAGTTTCTTTCTTTCCTTTTTATTGTTGTTGGGAGAAATCTCACACATGTACTGCACTGTAATCCTCAGGTCCGTAAACGTTCAGGTGAATTCATCTGTGTTCCCTGCGTCCCTGGGGCTGTCCTCTTAAACATCGCTGACCTGATGCAGCGCTGGACCAGCGACCAGTTCATCTCTGTGGTGAGTTACTAGACATTTCTTTTTCAACCTTTTCTTTTTGTCATGGAAAAGCAAAAGTCAATGCACGAATAGCACCACTAGACACTATTTATTAGGATAGTTCACTGGAAAATGAAAATTCACTTATTATCTGGGGTGGGTGTTTGAGTTCACAAAACACTTTTGGAGTTTCAGGGGTAAACAGTGTTGCAGCCAGATCTAACATTATCTTTATAATCTCAAATCTCTATCATCAAATCTATGTACGTTCATCTGTATTTTATTATATATGGATGGTCATCTGTGTTTTGAAGTAAACAGTGAAGTAATATTATAATATTTTGTATAGTTTGTATGTTAATTCTAATTATGAAAGACTACTATAAGAAATGTTGTCATACTTTTTACTTGAATATTTTTGTTGCTGTTATTAAAAAGAAATAACAGAACAACTTGACAACTGCAGTTTGGTGTGTGTATACAATGTTTGTGTGTATATGTAATATAATGTATGACAGAATGCAAGCTTCATATATCGTTTGTTCCTTGCTGCACAGCTCCACAAAGTTTTACTTCCCCCTGCTGGAGACTCAAGCACACGTCAGTCCCTGGCTTTCTTCGTCCAGCCTGACGATGAGGCTGTGATCTCCTGCTGCGACGGTTCCAACAAGTATCCTCCAGTTAAATCAGGTGAATACCTCAGCGAGCGTTTTAATAACTCGTATGGACGAAGCTAAACCTCTCTCCATGAATTCTGTGTTTTTAAATCATGTTGTAGAAGTAACATTTAATAATGCTGAGTATTTCACTTTGGATCCCATGTTTCTACGTTTCTGATTGTGTGTCTGTGTGTGTCTCAATGTGTACATTAAAGAGACACAACCCTCCAAACAGCAGGCTCATTCACTTTATTGTCCACATTCAAAACCTCAAATAAATAAATAAAACGTGAGGTAAACTGGGCTCCACAGATGTTGTGTGGCAGATAACCTCGACTGCTTATTAAAAGGAAGACAGAAATATACCTGTATCTCAAAAACATCTGTCTTTGTGTCCTGATTGTATCTTTTATCTGTTGCATCACCTTTAAAATGTGACTGTTTTGAAATATGTTTTGGACCATGTGACTCTTGGATTCAACTTTAAACGTTTCATTGACAGTGATGTAGAGAAGACATAAATGATTACGTTTTGAAAAATGACACAGATGCACATGCACTCACAAAAGCTCACTGTAAATAACCAATTCAGAACTCACATACTCACTCTAAAACCAGCACAATTACAGTAATTTAAATATATAATATATGTAACTTCATCTGTAAAATAAATATGTACTTCAGTCATCTGGTCCCAGGGAGAAATCATATAGAAAATACAATTGAAGTAGTTTTTTAGCTTTCTAAACATGGAAGAGTTTCATTGTGAGCTCGACCATTAAAAAAAGTCCTTAAAAGAAAAGTATGATCATCTGTGCGTTATTGTTGCAGTCCTATGAACACATTTCACAGTTTGAAATGAAACCTCATTACCAGTGTAATAATTAACAAAAAAAAATTAAAACTCTCCATGTCATTCACTTTCCAGTAGTTCTACATGAACGCTGTGGTTATTTCTGAAACTAAACTCTCTTCACCTGGAAAAAATGTATGTTTTTGTCTAAGAGACAGTATCAGTGACAATAAACTACAGTGCAAACTAAACAAAACATTCACTTATCAGGCCAACAGCCCTTCTCCCTGACACTTCTCATGGAGAACAGAGTCCTAGTTGTGACAAAACATCAATAAGACAAAAACAAAAGAGTTGATTGTGAACAAAGACACATAGACAGGCTCCACATTTCAAGAAGAATCCACCAACAAGAGGAATAATGACATAATTGACGCTGAATTTTAGTCCTGAAATCAGACTTGCTCTTAATGTGTAGGCATGTTGTTGCCAGTGGTGTTTTTAAAATCCTAAATATAAAACAGAAAATTGAAAAGATTTCAGGGTAAACACATACACGCGCGCACACACACGGTCAGTGGCATTCCTGCAGCTCGCAGAGTGGTGAGACCTGCTAAGAGTGTCCTGACACTGGTACATCTTGCTGCTGGTGACCAGGGGGCAGTGGCTGATTGTTTCCTGGTACAACTGGTGCTGCCTCACTTTCACCTGCAGGAAGAGTCAAAGTGGCCCAACTTGAATACATTTACAAAACAAGAATGGCGCGCAGAGAGCACATAATTGCTCCGAGGCCTAACATTCCCCTTAGGAAATTTCATTTACAGTCACTAGATCCGGATCTTTATTTGGATCTGCACTAAATCGCACAAACTCATAAATATCAGTCCTGTAAACGTGCCAGATTTCTTTCATCATGATCCATGAATTATTCACAGGAAAATCAATGACGATGTTGAAAAATGCCTTATCTCTCGCAATGTGAAAGAAAGTGGAAAACTCCTGCTAACTAACATATAACTAACGTAACCCCCTTGGTGGAGGTGATCATGAGTCTGGTGGGCTTTGCTTGGTTTATATCCTGTGCTGCAAAATTGACATGTTTACTGAGTATTGTTGGTTACAGCATCTTTAGGCCTTCACTCATAGGGACTAAAAGTCAGAGAGTCAAGGCCTCTGCTGCTTTGAGTTCATACGTGAGTCTCTTATGAGTCCCTCAGTTTATTACTTTACAAGTCAAAAGGTCTTTAGACTCACAGAAATGTTATACTTACGTTTGACCTCAGTGTTTGTGCGCTGGGCTTTTATTCTATCCATTTCTTCTACGGCCTGAGGAGAAAAGGAAGGCGAGGAAATGTGAGAGAATCACAAAATAAGTGGGAACCTCTGCTCTATGTATATAAGCTACTGTATGTAAATATCAAAATATATATAATAGTTTGTATGTTGTGCCTGCACTACAGTGCATAGTAAACAGAATACAATATTGTGTGGGTGCATCTCATCTGTACTGTCACCGAGGAAGTGAATATGTCATATGTAAACAAATCCTGCATATCATGAATTAGACCTGTGTGTTAGTGTGGTTATTGCACAGGCGGCTGCAGACTACTCAAATCCTGATTGCATTTCATCAATATCATGTTTTTATTTTAGTCTACCTGCTGCAGCCCCACTTTCTGAGCATTAAGTTCTTCCTGTTTCCTTTCGAGATCCTCCCTCTGTTTCTGCAGCACAACCGACCTCTTATTGATGTCATTCTTCTCGTTGGTCAGTTGTTGCTCATACTCCCTCAGCTCCTCCTCTGTGTATAAGGGGTTCTGGTCTAAAGTCTGTGCAGGCAGGGGCAGGGAATGATCAGATTTAATGAATAGACTGAAAGAATAAGATGAAATTCAGATGAAGAAACAAAAAAAATCTATCTCTCCTGTATAAACTCCCACTTCTTCTTACCTCCCACTCCTCTTTTTCATGGAAATCGTCCTTCTTAGTGGCCACCATGAACTCGCTCAATGACACAAGTCTGTCATTATCGGTGTCCACCTGAACATCAACACAGATATCATCAGTGTCAACACATGTTTCAACTATTTTCCACTGCTGTTACTGTTAAGCATAACCCACTTCCCCCATTTTACACCAGTGTGCTAGTGTATGTGCGCTTCTGTCAGTCATCTGATCCTACACAGACACACGCCGATTGTGATCTGGGATTGGTTGGATGGAACATGTGTTTTTTCCAGTTGGGTTTTGTTTAAATGACAAATTCATTGGGGGTGCTATAACTTTTCTATTCTTGTCATTAAACATGATCAATCTGACAACAGCACAGCACTTTAAATCAAACATTGAGGGGCAAGCACTTGACTGTGCTGTATGTTTTGATGTTGAAATATTTTAAATAGAAATTCCTATGAAGAACGTCAAACTGACTGCACTCGAGCAATATCAATTGTGGGCATTAACAGGCCTGATCATCACTGTATTCATCCATCCATCCATTATCTACACCACTTGTCCTTTGAGTAGAGGGAGCTGGAGCCAATCCCACCTGACAGTGGTCGAGAGGTGGCAGGGTATCACAAGGCCGACATACTGAGACAAACAATCAATCTTATCCAATCTGCATGTCTCTGGACTGCGAGAGGAAGCCGGAGTACTTAATAAAAAGCGACACCATAATGTAGACAACATGCAAATTCCACACAGAAAGACCCCGGCTATGCTGGAATTTGAATCTGTGTGAGGTGTTAATCAATACATCACCATGCCACCCTACTGAATTCAAAATACAAAAAAATATATATAACCCCACACATCTGCTGTGTCACTGAGGTTGCTCACTTCGTTCATAACGTGCTCTCTCATACGTAGTCTCTCCTCCTCCATCTGAACCATGTCGTCTTCTTCATTTTCAGAGTTGTACACCTTTTCAAGCTTGAACACACAAACACAGAGAAATCTCATGTAAAAGGCTTCATCGTTTAAATATTACCTTGTCCTAAAACATGCAGAACCAGTATGTACTATTGTACTGCTGTAAATACCTCTTTAGTAAAGAGAGCTTCAAGTTCAGTCTCGTCTAAGAAACCATCTCCATTACTGTCTGCAGCACAAAACAAACAGAACAGGTCATTTCATTCATACATGGTTTCATTAACAAGTTTGTTGGATTATATTAATGTTATTAATCCAATGGCTTTATGGTACTGATATGTGTCACATAGACCACTATTTGTGATATTCTGCAACAGATGTTCTTGGCAAATAAGGCCCCTGTGGTTACCATGGAGTTTGAAAAAGGTCTTGGGTTCAAAGTCTTGTGGGTCCAAACCGTCGCCCTCCTGCCACACCTCCTTCAGCTGGTCTTCACTGCCCTGCACACACACACACACACACACACACACACACACACACACACACACACACACACAGGTTGTCTAAATACCGCTGTTCAGTTGTCCACATTATTCGTCCATCTAATAAACATAGTTGCAGCCTCTGGTGCATTTTCTAATGAATGTAACTCCAGTGCGAGACTTACTGGATGATTCACTTTGGGATGGTCAGCGTGTTTCCTCCTCATCTCCTCATAATGCTGCTCTTCCTTCTTGCGGTCCTCCTCAGTCAAGCTGTTCAGACGTTCCCTCTTCTCATGCTCCTTCATCATCTCATATCTCTTGAACTCGTCATGACGGCCCTTGTCAAAGTTCTCCAGGTCTTTGGTCGCCTACAAATGAAAACAAAAAAGGGGAGAATTCATACCTTGATGGAACTTTCTTTCTTTCCTCCTGGAAAACCACCACAGGAGGTGCGATCAGAGCAGCTCTATGAACGATGAGGCCACCTGCTTGGCAGAATGAATTTTTATTTCATAGCTCAGCCAGGGCCTCGGGCAGAATGCTGGATCAATTTACGACATGCTCTTCTTTTTCATTGCTGATGTGCATAATGTGTCTAATGGCTGCTGATCAAGCACTTATACATCTTTCGCAGTTACTCCTGTAAAACTGAGAGAAAGGACCACAGAGTTTAGCTAATATTCGAACAAATAATTTGTGGGCACAGTGGTGGATTGGTTAGTTGGCATGGAGTCTAAAACCAGGTGGTGTCGTAGGGCGTATGGCAAATTACAAATGCAACCTGAGTTTTGACCCATTGGTAAACACATTCATTCAATGCAGCTATATGCAGCACTTTCTGTAGCTGTCAAGGGCAATTTGGGGTTTAGTAATTGGCCCAAAGGCCACTTCAGCACCCGGAACAAAGGAGCCTGTGATTGAACTCACTGTCTGGTTTTGGCTGGCCTGCTCTACCTCCTGAGCCACAGCCACCTGTCTTAAATAGTTCAAATACAGTTGTGTGTTTCTCATAGGGAATTAAAGGTAATTGTTAAATCTACAACCCTGCAGGTACTCCCACAGACGAAATACTATATTTTCCAAGGTGATTCATGATCATATTGTGAGGGCTGACAGCTCGGAGTTTGGTAGAGGGGGACTGCTGTGTTTATGCAGGTAAGGGAGACTGGGAGAAAGAGATGGGTTTTATTTTTCAGCTTGAACTCTAATGAGGTTACTTGTATATTCAATTGTGTGGTTGTGTCCCGACCCAGATCTCTGTGGCTCCATGCTTGAGAGGAGACCATTCAGGATTCGCCTCTCCCATGTTTGAGCCCCAGGACAGTCGGCCATCCATTGTCGCTGTAAAGTGGGGCCCTATAGTGAGCAAGGTAATGTTTAACAGCAACGTAAAGGGGGATCCCCTCTAATGTATTTGGTTGCAATTTGATGATTGACCTTGTCTCCCCCTCTTTGCAGATCAAGTGCCAGACTGCTTTGCCTACACCAGTGTTGTCTGGCCACTGGTTTCTGCATTTGTTTTATACTGTTGGTTCATCGTCTCATGCATCACACTCCTGATGGACTGTTCGACCTTTAATAATTGTTTATTTTTATATTTTATTGTGACCCTGAACCCACTGAGTCTCATTCTTTTCCTAGATTTAGTCAGCTGGACGACCTGCGGGGAGCAGTTGTGATATGCACACCACTGTGCATGCAGTGTGGTAGGCCTGAAGGGGGTGGTCACTGGAACAGTGTTGTTGTTTGTCCTTGCAGTGTAAGTTGCAGTGCTAGTGATCACCAAGTGCTCACGTGGTGGTGTCTATTAGAGTTTGTAATAGAATCTCCCTGTGGTAAGTACATAATTGTCCTCACTATTTATGTTATGGTGTGGTTCTCTGTGGTCTCAGGAATTCAGTTTTTTCTCTAATTCTCTATAGGCTCATGAATGCTAATTTATCAAACAAAAGGGTGCTCTTTACTGAGATTACTGTGATTATAGGGGGAGGGGGTGCGTCTTTTAACACTGTTCACTACATCTAAAGTAAAAGACGCACCCCCCCCCCCAGGTGTTGTTTCATCTCAAAATGTACCGATTTGATGAGGCGGTCCAGGTCGTCCACCTCAAACGTGTCAGGGTTCATGTGGTTGAGGTGCTCAAACTGTTTGAGCAGGGCCTGATGGTTCACTGTACGACCTGCAAGAGAGAGGAGAGAGAAAAATGAATTTATTATTATATTCTTATTTATTGACCTTTAAACTCAGTGTAGGTGTGTAGGGAGGTAAGCAGATGGACTTTATTTATCCTGAAGTGGGAAATTTCTGTGTTACAGCAGCGTGGTATTTGTGCATACTGCTAGGTAACAGGTGACACAATAAACATTAAAATATATAATAATAATAATAATATAAAACATTTGTGTCATTCAATGAACTGATTTACTCATTCCCATCTGTTGTCCTAAGACATTATGTGCTTCAGCAGTTCTTCTGTGCACTGGTGCGCACACACGCATACACACATACACACGCACACATGCACGCACGCACGCACGCACACACACACATACACACACACACACACAGAGGCAACCACTGGCTTTGTTTATTCAAGCTTCATATAAGATTAACTCTGGTAAAAAGCTCAGTCTAGTTAAGTTAGTTCAAATGTGTTTTTGAGCATGATCGAATTGATATACCACCATCTGTTAACTGTTTCCACACATCCTGTCCAAGTTGCGACTGTCTCGTATTGATGTCTGAGACCATTGTGGGTCTTTATTAAAGTGTCGACTTTTGTTCTTTAAATACACTTGCATCAATATTTGACGTATCATTCAGCAGTTCTCTGTGGAGAAACTAGAAGTCACTGTGAGTTGAGGTAGGTGGAGTATTACATCATGTTCCTGTGTGTCAAAAGCCTGATCCTACATCTGACAGCGACGCAGCCACACACTGTGTTAGAAAACTTGTCAAGAAGCATAAGTAAGCTAGTGTTACATTACACCAGTATTAGCCTCTTTTCCTTGGTTACCGTCACACTTTACAATGTTTAACATTTTATTGCTTTTTTATTTTCAATTTATTCTCTGTTTTAATATACATTTTAATATCATTTTATTGTAATTTAAAGCATGTTCACTTCTTTGGCTTATGGTGATTGTTTTAATCATGCTATGTAAATAAACTTTAACTTGACTTGATGTTCGCAGTATAAGCAGGATCACTTACCATTGTCCCCCTGGATGTCATGTTTGGCTTTGATAAGCATCCGCAGCCTGTTCATCTCCTCCCTCTTCAGCTCGTCCAGCTTGGTCCGAAAATTGTGGTGGACAAAGTACAGCTCTCTGGAAAGTTTGCCTTCCTGCAGGCACAAAATCAACAAGCCACAGCTCAGTACAAACATGCTCATCATACTACAGGAACACAAATAAACAACAGGATGCTTTGTGTGCAGACGTTCACCTTGATGTCATCCATGTTGGCGTTTTTAAGCTTCTCTTTAAAGTGGGGGTCTTTCTCCAGGTACTCAATGACTTCTCTGAGGTAGCGGTCATAGTGCAGTCCAGTCTCCTGAGGCATAAACCAAAGAGCACACAATGTTTGTTGTCAGAGGACTAAAATGTACATTTAACTTGCTAATACCTAACTTGACCGGAGGCATTATTGATATATTATTAATTATTGATATATATTGACATTATTGATCTTTTGGGGAGGTCAAATCATTCCTGATATTGCTGTTGTTTGTTTAGAGCAAACAAAAAAGGATGCTGTCATTTGCTCTGATTTAAAAGAGATGTCCCTTTATGTGACACTGTATATATGACTCACAGCACTCTGGGGTGGCTCCAGTTGCTCAGCATCATGCTTTTCTTTGGTCTTGTCCACACTGATAGGCACTGACTGGATACACAGCCACAAACTCAGCAGAACCAGCACACAGCGGGCAAATGCTTTACTGCTCACCATCTGCTTACATACATGTCATAAGAAACAGAACAATGAAATATGAATTATTTTAGTATGATGTTACATTCATTACACTTAAATTGCCTAATAAGGTAGAAGAAATAAGGCTCATGTGGCTAGTGTCTCATCCATATGTGTGTCTTTTGAAAAGGCAACACCCTTCATTTCTCAAGTATTGCAAAAGGTGCACAAGCCACAACTTCACTCAGGCACCATGTGAGATGAGTTTATGCAATTTAGGCTCTATCTGAAAAGCATCTTCTATCATTTTCTATTTAACTATTTTTCTATTTGTACTGTGACTTGTATTTGTATTCTATTCTATTCTATTATTCTATTGTACTGCTACTGTGATCTTGGAGCAAGCTGGCACAAGAATTTCTTCAGAGGTTAAAACCTTTTATCTTGTGTTATCTTGTCTCTCTGTGCAGCACACGTGTTAGGTGGAGGACCAAGCTTACTTTAAAACTATTCCTCTGTCTGAGACCTGTACACTCGCCAGCACAGACACAGGCTGGTGATGTCAATAACAAGTTGCTCGTGGTTTCTAATTCCTAATCCCAAAGAGGTAGAAAAGCTCCAAAATAATCCTTTTCATTTCTGCTAAATGTCAACAATAAACAGAGTCCATGTAGAGTAAGAGTTAGAAGTAAAGCGACACGTACTTTGAGCTTCTGGGCTGAATCTTCACCGGGTGCAGTTTGTTGACAGCTGTCATGAAGCAGCTCTTATAATACATCCATGTCCACCACCTATACAAGTCTGCTGGAGCCACAACCTACAGGCGGGGGGGGGTGTTCACCATGGCAACGGCCCGCCTCCGCAGCCTCTCATTGGGGAGAAGAAGGTGCACGTGCTTGGTACGACAGTCGCGTTGAGAGCTGATTGGCCGCAGCGCACGTCAGTCACAGCGCGTCAGAGCGTAATCTGCTCGTCCCCATTTTAAGGTGCGTTGAGCCAAACCGTACGTGGCGCTCAGTGTACCTCCCGCGAGGGCGGAGTTAGAGCCTGGGGGCAACACCACTGGGTCACACACGTTTACTGAGAGGTTGTACGCGAAGCACGTGGCTACGAAAGATTAATCATTAAGCCTGTTAGTAGAATTAATGTTGTTCCCTGGAAAATGGAGGCTGCACCTTTTTAAGTAGTTGTTACAAATAGGACAAAACCTGACCAAAATAAATACAATCCTGAGCAATCAAATACAGAATCTTATTAATCATTTCTGTGCATTCATTCTAATTTGTGGCATCATTATAGCGCTTCCATTCACAATGTATACAAGACTCAGTTATCAGTTTTTAAGATACACCTGACAAAAACTAAGGACATCTAATACAAAATCCTATTTATCCTATTATTAACTTCAGGTTGAACATTTTTTAGGTGTCGATTCATCATTTTGGAGGAATTTGTGTGATGCTAACAGAACCTCAAATGCAACCAATGCCCTGCATTTAAACTGTACAGTGTATTATTATAAATAGAGTACATGTTGCTGTGTGTTATATGTTCTGACACTGAAATGTGTACTTATGTGCCTCATTAAACAAAATGGCCCCTCACAGATATAGACTGTTCCTTGTAATTCACACTGATGCATTCACTTTTTACACAACATTTAAACTTTTAACTAGTAACTTAACAAGCAGCTAATACTTCCCTTTGAAATACTTACTAATTCTAACAGATGACATCACATCATCCCCATTGGCTCCCTGTCCATTTAGAATTGATTTTTAAGATTTTACTGGTGACCTTTAAAGCATGCCGGTCCCTGGCCCCAAGCTACATCACAGGATTGTTGACCCCTTATGTGCCTGTTCGAAGCCTTAGATCCTCAGGTATAAGTCGAGGCTGCAAACTAAAGGTGACCAGGCTTTTGCCATCAGAGCCCCTCGGCTTTGGAATGACCTACCTGAGGAGATAAATAAAACTTTATTTTACTACAGTACTTAAGTAAATGTATTTACCAGCAAATACACTGCAGCCACTCGGGAGGCCAAAGATATGTACATAATAGTAAAATGCATTTGAAATTTGTATGAAAGGTGCTGTAATTATGTTTACACACCTTCCATACATAATTGTGTTTATACAAAGGAAATAACTATTATCTTAAGAGTTAAAGTTTTCAATCTCCGAGGTGTGTCCATTAAGTCGATCAGTGCCTTTATTTAAATCCTCATTTGGACAGATGTCTTTTTTTCTGTTTGTGGAATCAGTATGTGGATATCTTAACCCACAGAATTCAGTCGTGAACTGGGATCATTTTAGGCTCAAATAAACTCACTTTATCAAGAGGAATCAACCATATATACTCTACTAATTACTTATGGTAGTCTGTCATGATATCATTGTATCATTGTTGGTACATAAAAGATCAATGTTTTGTGCATTGATTGTTTTATGTTGTATGTAATTATTTTTTTGTGGAGTGTTGTATATTTTGAAAGACAGTCTTGAAAATGGCATACAATAAATTTCATACTAGTAGGTAGCAAAAGTAACACATACTTTTGTACTATGCTTGTTTGTGTATATATTTTGTATCATTAATCTGAATCTGTAACATAATCAAAGGGATCAATTAAATGTTAATATAATTGAAATGTTGTGGAGTAGAAGAGTAAAGCGGCAGAAACACTCAGGTAAATGTGCAAGCACTGCAAAAATGCACTTTTAGTTACTTTCCACCATTGAGGGTCTCCTTTGCAGCATAACAACGACTTTTTACTTTTATGACAAATAAAGAGACCAAACGTATTCAAGTAAAAGTAAAAGCACCACATTAACTTTTCTACTTGATTCTTCATCATTGACTGTGCCCACTGCATATTCTGTTTATTACAAACAGAGTACAGGCTCTGTGATATTTCTAAAAACTGCTAGAGATGATGCTACTCAAAACCCTTTTATTGTGAATTTGGCTGAGTCTCAGCCTCTTCAAATTCTATCATAGGTGTTTCTTCACCAGTGAGTGCTGGAGGCTGAGTCTAATGTTACCTGTCCACTCTGATGGGATCAGTGGACCAACTCCATTGTGATTATTGATTATGTTTAAAGGTGAACATGGAAAGCAATGTACTGTAAAAATGTATTAAAATAGAAAAATACAGATAGCTGCTGATATATATGGTGGAGAAAAAAGTGAAAAGTACCTGCAAATAAATCTACTGAAGTACAGGTACATGAAAGATAAACTTAAAGGTACAGTGTGTAGAATTTAGTGATATCTAGTGTTGAAGTTGCATGTTGCAGCTGAACTCCCCTCACCTCATCCTCTCCTTCCAAACAAGAAAAAGAAACTGTGGTAGCTTCAGTTGTCATAAAAACTCAAAAGGTGTTTAGTTTGTCCAGTCTGGACTAATGCAAAAAAATTAAATTTCTGCCAGTACTTCTAAATCTCTAAATCTTACACACTGGACCTTTAAGTACAGTAACTAAGTAAATGCACATTGCTACACCCCACCACTGGACAGGATCAATTCTGCTGCATGTAAGTAGTAAGTATTTTGACTTCAGTGACAGATGTGAGTACTTCCTCCTGCACTCAGCATGAACGTCCCCTGCAGGATTTTTCACCCTCATACTCGGATCCCTACACTTGCTGCTGCGGCCCGTACGATGGCGCTGTTCTCCCGCGCAACCCTCCGTGGAGCGCCCCACTGTGGCAGAAGCGCGATCCATCCGCGTCCAACCAAACCTCCGTCCAACCACCTCGACAGGAACTGACGTCGCCTCTGTGCAAGTGGATGGAAAAAAAAAATGCAGCTGCAGGAAAAATGGCTCCAGTCGCCTCACCGCTGAGAGGTAAGCAGATAAAGCTCCAGAGCAGTGGACACGAGTCTGGAAAAGTTTCACCCCGCGGTCGTGTGGAAGCGGCGGCTCCGTCGTGCTCAGCCGTCCCCTGACGCACGGAGCCTGCACCTCTTCCTTGTTGTGAGCGGTCGGCAGCAGCGGAGCAGAGTCCTGGTTACTTTTAAATTATTCAATCACTGTCTCTCTCCCAGTCCGGAGCACTTCTCTGAGTAGTTCCCGTTTAGCTAAACCCAGTCGGCTTTGTGATTGTGCGAGCGACGCGCTTCTCCACTTTCTGTGCAGTTTTGGGAGCTTTAGCGGCTAAACTTAGCATCCAACAAAGTTAAAGTTGCCACCAAACGCTACTCAAAGTGTCCAGAAGTGACATTTGATCCGAGGGACCGGGTTGTCCGGCTGCACAACTTTAATCTAACGTGTTGAAGTGTCGGTAAGTCGAATTAACAAGCAGCTAGCTCTTGTTTTAAAGAGTCGCGAGGAAAGCGACTGTTCGTCCGCAGGACTCGACGCATCTCTTGGTGTCAGGTGAGCATCAGCCGACAGGTTGGTTATCTACCAAGGTTGTGTGCCGATACGATTTAAAACCAGATGTTGGTTGTGTTTTGATCAAAACATCTGCTCGGTGTAATCGTGCTGTACTGTGACTCTTAGTTTCTGTTACCAAGACAAACTATCACATTTCCGTGTGTTGAATACTTGATACTAGCACAACACCCCAGTGCTATCAGCCCCTGTGAGCACGTGAAACACTGTTTTTCTCTAACACTGCAAGTGGATCTGAGCTTTTTATCAAATTTAAAATGCAAGAATGAACTTGATATCGTCTGAATAAGTGATCTGAGTTCTCTGTAGATGAACTGCTCGACATAGAGAGGCACCAAATTACCAAATGTGTGTTTGTGTCCAATTCTAGTTCTTGCAGTTAAAAGGATAGGATACTCTTGTTGTTGTTTTCTCAGTGGTGGATCTAGGATTTAACTAAATCAGGGGCCATTAAAGGGCCACAATTTGCACAGAGGCGCAAATTATATGTCCAGAATTCATGCACAATTCCTGATTCAGTAAGGTGCACATCTAACTCATAACTGGTTTGCTTTGAGCAAAGCCACAATAAAATATCAACTATATTCAATGATGATTCCTTGTTCATACACATTGTGAACTTCTAAATTGTCATATTTTATGTTTTATTATTAAGAGACTAGATTATTTAAAACAACTATAGAGATTTCTGGTTGGGCCAGTGCTCTCCTGGAGCCACCCCTGGCTCCGCCCCTGTGTGTTATTGTTATTTTGCATGAATTTTATCAAAGCAGATACAGCATTCAGACAGCGGAAACTACAGTTATGTGACTTAATATGGAATACTGTTCCAACAGGTAACAAGGGGCAAAGTTCTGCACAAGTGCTGCCAAAAATAAACTCAAGTTTTACTCTCTTGTTTCCCTACAGACGCAGAGCATACCTTACAAAACTGTTAACTTGATCTGGTGACTTATTTTAGTTACTTATCTTCGTTTTAAAGATGTTGGCCTGTACTTTGATCAGCTGCACAGTGTATTGCCAATATCTGAAGTTTTGCACAGCTATTTGTAGCCAAACTAATTTAGGAGATCACAAATCATAAATCACCTTTTTTCAAATAATGTTGAATTGAGTTTTCTGTGCTCTATTGATGTGCAACTTTATTCTTAATTTTATTCTAAGCTTTCAAAAGTTATTATTCTAAAATGTCTATAAATTTCAATATTTGAGTGATTAGAATTTCTCTATACTTGAATTGCCTTAAGCTTTTTCCCTAGTATTGTATATTGCTCTGTAACGTTACCTTGAATAAAAAACACAATGCAACGTCAAAGTGTAGAAAACTGTGTTGTCACAACATAAAAGTTGCCTAAAAGACGAACGTAAGGAATTTTAAAACCTTGAGTTGCTTTAATGGTGAT